AGGAGAAAGACGCTTCGTGCTACCTGTCGACACACGCAAATTCAAAATGGCGACGATACCACCAAAAAGCAGATCCGTCGCGCTTGCGCATGACGTCATCTCGTAATGGCCCCGCTAAAGGATTCGTAATTTTTCGATCTATTATCGGAAAATATCAAAACGTTAATAATACGATAAAATGATAGAAAATCTATTAAAACTTATAATTTTTAAGTCAAAACCATGAAAATCAATGCTCGTAATGGTCTATGTGTAAAAATAAAGGCAAAAACGAGAGAGAAAACCATGGACGAAATATATCTCGATCAGAGGCATCGTAATTTTTATCAAAAATATTTTTTAAACGACATAATCTATTGCCTTGCAAACAATACATCATATAAATCGGAAGTTCAACAATCGATTAATATATTGAAATGAGATGTACGTGAGAAAAAATATGCTAATTACCTGCAATTAAGATGACGACGTATGTATATTCCTTGTCAACTTGATATCGTTTATGTAGCGTTAACGAAACTAATTGGATCAGCCAATCACGAGCCGTAATTATCATCTAAAAGATCTTTCGACCAATAACATTCCTTGACAATGTAATTAATTATTTTTATATATAAAAAAAAAAACTTTATCAATGCTATTTAAAAGTATATAAATCAATACGATAAAATGGATAATTGAATTTTAAATAAAGAAATAAGTTGAGCGTAGAATTTTCACGAAGAAACAAATCCGTAAAAATTATTTGTAATAATTTATAATAAGCGGAAGTAATCGATAGTGAGAGTTGAAAGGTATTTGTAAATATTCAAAGGCAACCGACGATAAATCAATTTATATAGATACAAGTACTAATAACTGTGATTAGAAAAAAAAAAAAAAAAAAAAAAAAAGATAAAGACGAGATAAAGGAAAAAGAAGCAAGGAAGAAGAACAAGTAAAAGAAAAAGGAAGTTAAGGAGATCATTAATGAGCTTCTGTGTACCATGAAAAGGTAAGCCAATTGTTAAGAGTAGAAAAGTATTACTCTTTCTCTATTTCTTTCTTTTCTCTGTTTTTCTGTTTTTTCTCACTTGAAATGGAGGATGTTATTCCTCGCCTATTGTTGGCAAGGCGAAACAGCCCACGCTGTCCGGTCCGTGACTTCATCTCCTCGAACAAATAAATTCTTATCGTTCAAGGAACTCGTGTACGATGACGAAGTCGAGACTATTGGCTGGTCGTTGTGGTCTCTCTCTCTCTCTCTCTCACTCTCTCTCTCTCTCTCTGTCTTTCTCTCTCTCTCTCTCTTTCTTTTAACGATTGTAAAACCGTCGCATCACCACAAATTGATATTTATCGCTTTTTCGTACGTATGTAAGCGGTATGATCGTAGAAACACACACACCATAAGTTATCTATTAAATATTCCTCAAAATAAATCAAATTTTGTTCAAACGATGTCATATTTGACAATGATTATGATAATAAATATATATATATATATATATATATATATATATATATATATAAATATACATATATAAAATATATATATATATAAAATAAATATATATAAATATATATATATAAATATATATATTTATTATCATAATCATTGTTATATGTATGTACATTGTATATATGTATTATCATAAATATATATATATTTATTATCATAATCATTGTATATATGTATGTATGTGAAATAATAAAGGAGTCAATGCATCGTAGAACAGTCGAAAAGATAGAACGTAATAAAAATAAAATAGAAAAAAAATTATTTGTCACGACAAGTAGCCACTACCATCATCAGTTGCTACTGTCAGTTGTGTGTCTGTTCGATTTCACATTCGTTACAAACGTCTATCGATAATGGGAGAGCGTGAAATAAGTAAAACAAAAATGTCCTGACTGTCATTAGTCATTTACCAGTTCTTTCATTCATACGTATGTACGATAAATACATACATATATATATATATATATATATATATATATAAACGTACGTACATTACATTCGTGTGTTCTCCTTCGTGTAAATTCAATGACACGCTTGTCGAACGTAAAATTCGAACTACATCTTTTTTCAGTATCTCTTGGTCATTCTTACTGCACGTGCAAATATAATAAAAACTACAAATAATAGTCGACGAGTTTGTGTATCGTCAAAGGAGAACGTGGCTAGTTTTATTTCTTGGATAAGGGAGAAAAATAAAATAACAATAAAAGAAAACAAAAAAAGAAAGAAAAGAAAAGAAACAGAAAAAGAGAGATAAAATAAGAAAGAAAGAGTTAGAGAGAAAAAAGAAATACAAAGAGAGAGAGAGAGAGAGAGAGAGAAATGGAGAGAGGTGACTTGGATATATTAATGGTTGGTAAGAAGATTGTAATGTCTCGAAGGCAGCTCGATCGAAAATATCTATACAGACACGAACCTATTACCTGCCTTTCGCAATACGTCGGATAAAGTTGAATAATAGCGAAAGTGGTCGTAGCATCCTGCCGTGGGAATGCCAACTCGTTTCTCCTACTCGCGTGCTTCGGAAGCGCGATCGAATCCTTTTCTAGCCATGAAGGGTCGGTTCTCGAGAACTATCGATATCGTTTCTCTCTCTCTCTCTCTCTCTCTCTCTTTTTTTCTTATCGATTTTATATTTTCTTTCATAAGATAATAATTAAACAAATTTCTATAATTATCTTATGTATCAGGTACATGTATGTCTTACTGATGTTAATTATTATTATATTATTTTATTTTTAGTTTATTTCATTATATTATATTTTATTACATTACACTTATGTTATTTTTCATTCGATCAATTTCATTTTTGTAATATCTCATTGCATGTCTCAATTTTCTCTCTCTCTCTCTCTCCCTCTTCTGTGATCGATTTGAAAATTTACGAACATGATTATATGATTTTATTTCTATTTCATTTAAGATAAATTTCATTTAAATTAATTCGTATAAAAAACACACGTTTCCACGTGACTGTAAGAATCTTCTTAGTTTCAATTGCTCGAGGAAGAAATTAGAAAAATAAAAAAGAGAGAGAGAGAGAGAGAGAGAGAGAGAAAAAGAAATCAGACTCGGAAGCAATATTCCCTGTATTTCTCGGCCGTCGTAAAACGTAATGGCGGAACATTTCGCTGCGGTACACCTGAACGGAATACACTCTTCTGTTTCTCGAGCACCTGTTTCCTAACACCTGACATCGTCCTCGTCGTCGTCGTTGGTCAAGATGGTCTTCTATTCCATAGGGGGTCTAAAAGGACATAGCTAACCATTAAGTATCTTCGCTAAAATAACCAGTGCCTTCTTTCTCTTTTATTCTAAACAACACCAACGTCCTCAATCACGATAAACAAAATAGCGGTACTAATGTCTAACAGGTGTTTCACATCCTCGAAGCTTCGATTTTATCGGGACTGTCATCGACGTCGAACACGAGCATGTCGAAGAAGCTAATTTTTTTTTTTTCTTTTTTTCAATTCTATTAGAATATTAGAAATTCTAAGATCTTATTCGTTGTAAATAAGTTTTATTGTTATAAATTATATTTAATACATTCATAATAGATAGATTTATAACGATGAAAAAACAAATTGCTTTCTAATAATCAAAGAAATTAATATACGTTGATCATTTTAAGTATCTCTAATCTGATTTCAAGATCTACGATAATATCGAAAATTTGCAAAATTATTGGGATGTAAGAACGAACGTTATGTAATTTGTAATAAATGCATTATTAATTACGTCCTGTAAATTCAATTTATCTATACAGTTTCAATAGAAAATTAGCGATATCTTATCTGATCTAGATCAGATTTATTTTTTCTTTGAAAAATCTTCAATCGATATTGTAAATAGTAAATAAATCTCGGAATAAATTATATTCAATGGTTCTTTCGGTTCTAAAGGAAATATATTTTTCATATACGTTTCGATTTCAAATAAATAAATAAATGATTGAATAAATGAATCATAAAAAGGATCACGACTTTCGATAAATTTCCTAACTGTTTGATTTCCATTCTTCTCTATGACTTTCAAGAATATTACAAATTCAAAATACATTGCATAATTTGTAATAAATAAGTATCCATAAATAATAGTATAAAAAAGAAGCATCAGAAGTCTCATAAAATCGTTTCACTTGGTGGGAAGATGATTATTCCGAGGTAGATATTCGTAAATTAGTAACATCTACGTAAAGCGTACGGGTCGAATAAACTGAGAGAATAAACTCGAAAGGTCAGTCTTTTCACGTGTAGGATGGAGAATGAACGTGTGGGAAGAGAATCATACTATTCTTATGTATACTTGCATACGAGGAAAGACCTTGCATATGTGCCGGTGTTATTAAATGCTCACTTGTGCTGCATATAAACGTCGATGAGTGTTTAACGTCGCAACAAATCGTTCCATACTGTGAAGATGGCATTTCCTTAAAATCTTTCCTCTCATTCTCTCACTCTTTCTCTCTCTCTCTCTCTATCTTTCTCTTTTTCTAAAGTCATATTTATCAATATCGATTAAAAATTACGATTAAAAATGTGAATTTCGTAAATTGATCCTTAACCGTTGATTGTCATTAATAATTGTGTTAATTTTTAATTAATTTATATTAACTTTAACGATGATAATTTCAATTGTTATCATTAATAGAACCAATATTAAATAATTACTAACAATTATTATTAATTAAAATTAATCGTTAATTGAAAATTAAATATTGATACCTTTGTTTGCACCTGAACTATCTGCAATTTCTCTTTTTGATTTGTCTAAAGGATTGCATCTGCCAGGGGTATATATTTCATCTCTAGATATTTATCTACAATACAAATTATTTTATTACACCGTCATCTTAACGATTTAATTAAATCAAACAACCACACATGAACATGTTGTTCATAACGTTCTGTTATTCTTTTTTTTCTTTTTTATTACATAGTTTAGAATACAAATAATTTACATAATAGTCGACTATGATTTTATTACTATGTAAATCGTAATATGTAGAAACTATAGTTTCCGACGTATATCTTTTTTTTTCCCACAACTTTGAATAGATTTCCTTTTATTTCTATCAAAATAGTAATGACAGTATAGTGATTCATTTTGCGACTGGAATAAAAAGATCTAGTATTATCTCGCTGATAGTATTTATGATCAAGTTTTATTTTATTCTGACTTATGATAATCTCATATGAGAGAGAAAGAGAGAGAGAAAGAGAGAGAGAGAAAAAGAAAAGAAAAAAAGACATACCTATGTGATTGTTTAAAATGATAGAATTAATCATCGAAACAAATTAAGTTCCTCCAACACAATGGGGACTCTGACAAGGTTGATCGTCTCTTTTCATCCTTTGAGTATATGAAATACTATTTCCAAGTTGTATCTGACAAGATATGTCACATTTGTATCGTAACACTGGGTTATAGCATACGGAGCAATCTTTTTCATAGGAATGTGGATAACAAAACCAATGATAAGGAGGGATACAACCAAAAGAGGGACTCAAACCTAATCCCAGACTTAATTGTGGTACCATACTTAATTGGAAACCTCCACCAAAACCTCCACCAAAACCTCCACCATAACCTCCATCATAAGGACAACAATTTGATGAACATCCTCTACAATTAGCTGATAACATTAAGAAAATTCAATTAGAATATTACATTGTCTTGAATAATATTAGCAAGAAAAAAGAGCGTAAAATGAACTTACGACAACAACTGCAATTACAGTTCTTTGAACTTGGTGTTATCTCACCATCCTTTGGACGATCTGTACCAGTGTTGATGTTATTGTTAAGCTCAATATTCGTCGTAATATTTGCCATTCCTACGACAGGCTTATCACTACCTTTACAATCTCCATCTATACACTCGGTCTCGTACTCCGTAATGATCTGATGTTTATGTTTTGCTTTTCTTATGCAATGAGAACACTTTTGATTGCAATCGTGACTTGAAATAGTTTCGCAGGTTTTAACACACGTCTCCATGCAATGGTGATCTATTTGAAAACGTTACGAAAAAGAAAAAAATCTTATCAAATATTTTGCATTACATCATATTTCATCTTTGATATAAATAATAATAAAATCGTAAGAGTTATATTTTGTTCTTTTCTTTTTTTTTCCACACTAACGGATAAACGACGATAATTCTAATTAAACCATTTCTTTTCTTTTTGCAATTAAAAACAAAGATATTTGTTGATTTAATTCTTAAATGTTAAAAAATCTAACCAGTTTGAAAAGAAAAAAATTTCTACCGAATTCCGGTGACATTTCATGATGATGCCTCTTCACTTTGTTCCCTTTATAACTCGGATACTTGAGACACTTGATATATGTCCTGTAATTAGGATGTTGACAATCGAGAATTAATTTTTGTTCTTCCGATGTATTTTCTTCGGTAGTGGTAATGTCAGAATCGGCATTTACCGAATATGACTCATTCCAAATGATACTCGAAAATATAACGAAGATTAAAAAAACAAGTACGAGTACTCGACTATTACCCATCGTGATTTTAACGAAATGGCCTGCAACTCAGGCTCGCTTGTCCCTTTATACTTGTATTTAACTCGTGACTGTGTAAACAAAGTTTCCTGGCACCATCGTATCACACACGGTACTTGTCAGAACCTTAGAGATGTTTGCACCTTACTATGAGATACCAAGGAAAACGCGTTGCGCACTTTGCTAATATTTTAGCACGTAAATTTTTCATTTAGCTTTAAACGACGTTCGCTACGACAACAAATTTGCACTGCTTATCGCGCATTGCCCAGCTTGAATCCACTTCTAATCTCTTCCTCTCTCTTTCTTTTTTTTTCTACAAATTTCTGTTCTGTCTCTCTTTCTTTACTTGGAACATCGTTTTTCAACATCTTCGATCGATATCATGTTCTTATCTACAGACATTTAATTCATTTATTTCACATTAAAAATCTATCCGATCTAGTCATTATCAAAATCATTATTATTACTGTTTGTCAAATATTGCAAACGCAGTCCATTACTTCGTACAAAACAAAAAATCAGTCATTATCAAATTATTATTATTATTATTATTATTATTATTATTATTATTATTATTATTATTATTATTATTATTATTATTATTATCATTATTATTATTATCATTATTATTATCATTATTATTATTATTACTTATGATCTATTTATGTTTATTTATTAAATAGATGAAATAACTTTAATATTGGTGTTATTTTGTTACATTTATATATCACGTCAATGCTACTGAATTCTTTTCTATCTTCTTTTTTCTCTTCAATAAGTGGTCTTCATAGGATAGACGAGACGTAACCCAGCCCAAAGATATTTTTAATCGTTACAATGTACACTCAGCGCGATGCGATAATGATACCTTTAGCATAATGCGTTTATGGCATAAACACGAGCGACGATATTTAACTCGTGCAAAGTGCGCGATTAAAATCATCATGCGTTGTATATTTTACAAGGAGGAAAGTAGCAAGCACAAGTAACTCTCGGTACTCTCGAAGTAACGTTATCTTCTCTAGGTCCCCAATGGAATTTCAAGAAATATCAAAGATATTATTAGACTCGTTTATTATTTATGATCGCATGGAATGCAACTTAAAGTCATTTATGACTCCTGTTCTTTTAATGTAATCCCGTTAAAAATAAATTTTACTTTTTTAACGAATTTCGATAAATTTCTTTTTTTATTTTCTCATACAGATCATCGTTTTTATTTGAACGTCGATCCATATGATGAATTAATATACCGTGCAATGTATGTGAATAAATTTAAAAATATTTATTACAACAAAAAATTTATTACAACAATTTTATTTCAACAATGATAAATAATATAAATGAAATGATAATTTTTACAATTTTTTAATCTGTAATCTTTCTAAAAATTCCGGAAATCTTTTTATTTGTTTTTTGCAAAAAACTTTAATCTATTCCAAAAGGTCTTTGAACACACTAATGTTGATTAATACTTAGGATGCTCATTCAATATCGAATAGGTCAGTGACGCAGATATTCTTATCGTGCTCAATGTAAGCAAAAGGTGAATGATTTCCTCGATTAGTAAATACGAATATGATAAGAAGAACGTTATATATTACTTTCATTTATTTATTGATATTACTAGCGTTTAGAAATAAAGAAATAATATTACAAGAAAAAATCTATACCTTTATGTAAAATAATATGCCGCTCGAATGTACTCTTCGAGATATTAAATTGCAAGTTTAAACGAAGGCAACGATAGTATTCTTAGATGACCTAAAAACAATCTATCATCATTCGATCGTGAATATAACGGCACGAAACAACAAAAGTTACTTTAATAAATCAGTCACGTTTATAACATATTCTTATTGGCTTATTGACCCTTCGATCGATGATATAATGTTCTGCTTTAAAAAATATCACATATGGATTATTAACATTATCTAAAGAAATAATAAAAAATAGAAATTTTTTAACGAAAATCAAAGTTAAAGTTACTTAATAATAAATAAATTAAGTATTTGCAAAATAAATTGTACATATCGTATGTTCTGTTGAATAATTAATAAATAAATTTGTTTGTTGGTGGATAATGAAATAAATAAATATATTGTATGATAAAACAAAGTTGGAATTATCTGGCTCGAAGTACCGTACTAACAGAAAAAATAATTGTCATCGTCAGCTACCGGTAAAAGGATCGTGATCAACATCTTGATCGTTCCAGACGACATCGTTTCTAGCATGAACAAATCTATTCATAATCAGGATAACATGATTTTAATTCAACTATTTTTAGCAAGAATCCCATTTTTCTATTTGAATTTTTATAATTTCAATATCAGGGATTAAATAATATAACAGTATTAATATCTTCATATCTTTTTTATCATAGTGAAATGTTCCAGTGTTTAATTAATGTTAAACGTTAAATAAATAATTTATATCATAAATAATCGTGTAAATAACTGTGCATTTATATATATTTTAGTGTTGATCGTATATATGAACATTTTTAAGATAATAGAAATTTTCTGGTACACTAGATACTTTTGACCCACTTAAAAACTTTTGGTCCACTTTGAAACTTTTGGCCCACCTCGGAACTTTTGACCCACTTAATAATACATTCAAATGAGGACCAATCATTTCTAGGTGGGTCAAAAGTCCCGAGATACACCGTAAATTTTAAATGAGCCTAAAGTTTATAGGTATAGCAAAATTTTTTGGGTGGGTCAAAAATTTTTAAATAGTCCAAAAATTCTAATTTAATTAAATAATAAAGGGACGATTTGATTCGATCGTAAATTGAAAAGTTTAGCATTAATCTAGTATGTTTTTTCATGGTCACCGGATCTTCGAGAGTTAGGCTCAAATTTATGAGAATAAAAAATATAAAAAGAGTATTATATTTAAATGGCAATCATTATTGTCTCGAACGGCTTTCTTTCGATACCGTTCGAGCACCGGAAGTTCGAGCATACGTGTTGACATTTCATATCAAGCAACGGAATTGTAATATTATTTTTACAAGAGATAGAAATCGATACTTATCGATAGTTTTCGACAGTTTTTGAAAAATGTAAAAGAAAGTAAAAAAAGTTCGATGAATGTTAAATCGTTCATCGAACTCGACTAATCGATTCTATAATGAAAATTCCGCAGTATTTTAGAATCCACTTTTCCCTCGCACGAGCTGCGAATTTCAACTGGAACGAGAATGAAGAAGGGGTGTGAGGGGCAGAATTCAGTCCTTCGATGCGAAGAGGGACGAGAAAGTAACGGATTCCGAAGCATGGAATGATGCGAGCAATGCTTACGTATATTTTACGTTTCCTGTCTTTCAGATAATTGGTAAATACTGATCTATCTTATATAAAAAAAAAAAAAAAAAAAAAAAAAAAACAAATAAAATAACTAAAAATATCAATAATAATTATAATAATTGTAATAGAATCATATTATTAAGCAAAAGTTTCTTTCTACAGAAGTGTATCATTTTTAAACACTAATTTGGTTCGATATAAGGAAAGATTTCAAAAATAATAATGTTTATAACAAACAAATATTATCTTAATTAAAGTAGCATTAATAAAAAAAAAAAAAGAAAATGCTGTTAATATATTATATACTTAAATTATATACAGACGAATAAACGATCGGAAAGAAAGAATATATCGTTTCAATTTGTATATTCAAATTCGGCGGTTAGTCCCATCGCTATATCGAAGATAACCGAAGAAAGCCGAAGTATGAAATCAGGCCCTCGCGAAGCCGAAGAGTGGGGTGGCGCACTCTCGCGTTCGATTCACGTTAGCAAGAACGAGCGAGTGAGACGCGCAATGGCCGCCGTGACCCGAGGCGCGCGGCTCGTAGCCGATCGTCCTTAATTTTCCCGTCTCGATATCGTGCTTCCACGCCCACGAAAATGCGCGCTGTTACTTCGACGTTGAATCAGTCGGCACGTCTCTACGACACGGTGAGCTTCCAAGCGTTTTTGTTTAATAATTTATTCTTGAGATAATAGTTGTCACAAAGAAGAAAAGAAAAAAAAAAAAAATATTTAGATCTCTTAATCGTCGTTGGTGGTCCAAGAGCAAGTATCTTCTGATTGGTCAAACGATAACCGAATTAACGATTTCTTTTTTCTTTAAAAATGATTAGATCGATCGATCGTTCGAGTGAAAATAATTATTCACAGTGTCTGTGTATATGTGCGTGTGTGTCCTTATGTGCCTTTTCCTTAACGAACTAGAATTCTCTTAGTCTATTGGTCCATTTAGAAATTGTTAAATATATATATATATATATATATATATATATATATATATATATATATATACATATATTTAACTCGATTTATGATTAGTGTGACACTAACCTTCGGAAACGGTTAATGATTTATTTTCCGTTACTTTCATTGTTACTACTATGAACATAGTATTACTACTACTATTACTATATACTACTACTTTAACTACTACTATTACTATTACTAGTACTGCTACTACTACTATTACTATTACTACTACTACTACTATTAGTGATACTACATTACTCCGTTAGTGATGTTTGTGTCCTCGTCGTCAGCGTGGTTGCCATTCTGGACTCAAGGTGTGTAGAAGGTTAAGTTTTAGTTTTCTTAAGCGATAAGAAGATTATTAAGAGTACTTAATCATCCTAAAAGGATTGCTATCTCTCTCTCTCTCTCTCTTTTTCTCCTCCCTTTCTTTCTCTCTCTCTCTCTCTTTCATTCTTTAGAGGTTAAGAGGGAAAACACTCTTATGCGTTTCACTCCATTCGCATGAAGGAGGTTCTCATAGATCACTTGACGTTTGTGAAAATTTATATTTAAACGACTATTTAAAGAAAAATTATTATATATTTAAATAAATAAAAACAATTGAAAAATATATTCGTTCTTTCTAAATAATAATTTAATGATAACAATAAAGAAAAGAAATATTCGTATTATATATTGTAAAGAGCTTGTGGTTAGTTCAAGTTGAGAACCAATAATCGACGCAACAAGTGTCTGACGATGAATGAAGAGTGAGAAAAGCTCCCGGCGGTCAACTTTGATACTCGACGAGCGTGCTTTGAAGGTCGGATGCATTTACGAAAGGCAAAGAGGCTTAACCCTTCTCTAAGTTAAGAACAAAAAGCACGTTTTAACTCGAGCAACTCCAATTTACACACATGTTACACAAAAGAATCAACTTTGACATTAAATACTATCAAAATAAACAATTTCAAATATCTTATTTTACTATTCATTAAAATCTATTGTTAATAGATAAATTTTCTTAATCTTGCTTGTTCGTTATTATGAAATCAAATA